TTTTATCAATGGTTCAGGCTGGGGGTGGCGGTGTAATGGTGTGGGGGAGATTTTCTTGGCACACTTTGGGCACATCAGTACCAATAGAGCATCGTGCCAATGCCACAGCCTACCTGAGTATTGTTGCTGACCATGTCCATCCCTTTATGACCACAGTGTACCCATCTTCTGACAGTTTCTCCCAGCAGCATAAAGAATGAATCATCTCAGACTGGTTTCTTGAACATGACAATGAGTTCACTGTACTCAAATGGCCTCCACAGTCACCAGAGCTCAATCCAATAGAGCACCTTTGGAATGTGGTGGAACGGGAGATCTGCAGCAACTGTGTGATGCTATCATGTCAATAAGGACCAAAATCTCTGAGGAATATTCAACAGTGCCTTGTTGAATCTATGCCACGAAGGATTAAGGCAGATCTGAAGGCAACCTCCTGGTGTAAGGTGTGCCTAATAAAGTGGCCAGTGAGTGTATTTAAGGTCGGAAAATGTTTCTATTTTATTTTGACCTATTGTCATTCTCTTTAAATGCTCTAAATGATAAGTTCCTTGAAATCTGAACACATTTTATGAGTAGTTTCATTCATTTTCTTGTTGGCTTAGTCCCTTTATTAAACCAGGGTCGCCACAGCGGAATGAACCGCCAACTTATCCAGCACGTTTTTACGCAGCAGATGCAACCCATCTCTGGGAAACTTTATGAGTAGTTTATTTAATATAATATAATAACCTCATATAATTGGTAAAAACCCTGTGATACATTTTCTCTTCATTTTTCTTCAGAGTTTTGCACAATGCACTCTGTCTTACTACTTTACCAAACAGAAAAAATAGCTGCCTTCATTTTTAATCAGCCATTTCAACCTACAATACATTGAAATGACTAAACATCTGAAGACTATAGATGAAATATAGATAACTTATTTTAATAAGTTAAATTAGCATACAAACATTTGTTATCATGACTTATTGCAATGTGCACATTTATCCTTTATTAAACGTCAGGAAAGTGGTGCAAGAGTTTTTTTTTTTTTCATTTCCAACACACTAAAGCCAGTTTAAAAAAAAAAAAAAAAAAAAAAAAAAAAAAAAAATATATATATATATATATATATATATATATATATATATTAAACACACAAACACAGTTTTATTTCAGAAAAAAATATTTAATTCTCATATTTTTATGTACATATTTGGAATGACTGGACGTTCACATCCTGCTCTCTTATATGAGGCAGTAACGTGTGTCTAAATGCAGATCCAGTCATTCCTACATGATTATTCACATCGAACAAATCCATTTGATTTGGTGATCATCCACACTCTCCGCAGACCCGAAACCCAGCCACATCATGACCACCATGCTGATTTATGCGCTCGCGCTATGTGCAAAAGGCGTGTAATAATCACATTTTGGCTGAAATGATTGTCAAAGAAACAACAGTAGGAAAATATAAAAATAATAACCGTATTCATTATTGTATTATATGGCTGCTCTAGTGGCATTTGGGTCTCAAACAAAGAAGATGCCATTAAAAAATAATTAAAACAGATGATTATATATGTCCATCGTATAACAGGACAAATATGTATTCATTGGGATCATAAGAGCCGTTCTCATCTTAACTGAGCTGTACAGACATATTCAATTCCTTTAAATATGCTTATTGTCAGAAGAAAAGTCCAGAAGTTCCTCTCCTGAAGAACAGGGCTTTACAGTAAAGCATGACAAGATAAATGCCTTCTCCAGCTAACACAGAACATCCTCTCAGAGTTAACAACAAACATTCTTCCTGTAGAATTAATATTTAATGAATGTTTGTTTAAAGTCATCTGGTCTTTAATAATGAAAACATCAGCACATGCTGTAAAAAGGGTTTATTTACTTTACTTAACAGGTTTACTCTATTGCCGAAGTGGGCAAACTCTGTCTTGAAAGCCTGGTGTTAAAGGCTGATTTATACTTCTGCTTCAAACGCCGGTGTATGCTACGGCGCTGACGCATAGCCCTTTACCGTGGCCGTCGGCGTCGCTGACGTGCACCTCTCAAAAAATGTAGCTACACGTCGCAACGACACGTAGGCTCTGTGATTGGTCGGCTTGGTAGAGCTGATGAGTCTGGGCGGGACCGAGAGCCGCGTGAATAGTGCGAGCCTGATGGAGCGATTGTTTACAAGTGTGGAGTCCCGTGAAGGAGCTCCGGATGGAAAGTTTTGTTTTGTGTTTAGCTCATAGTTAAAGTTGTTGCACGTCCGCCGGTTCCTGCCTCAAAATGAGCGAGTTTGAGCCACTTGTACATCCCAGAAGTGTTTAGGAAAACAAAACAGCAACGAAGAAACTCGACACAGAGGAACATTTACACCGTTGCATGCGCCGTGGGTTACGCCGGTCACTTGACGCAGAATTATAAACCAGGCTTTAGAGATATGCATGGGACTAAATTTTGAATTTCGCTCCCACCAGGTTTTAGCCCAAAGCCAGCATTTGTTGTCCTGCTATCCGCCCCGCCCCGTTTTCTACCCACCATCCAGCTATACAGAGTCCAGACAGCCTATAACAATCTGTCTGTACACACACACACACACACACACACATAAGCACCAAGCAAGTGACACACAAACAGCATCACGCTCTCTCTCATACACACACACACACACACACACAGAGAGACAGAACAAAGCTTTCTCTTCAACACAATCTCACGGCAATTCGTAACTTTTTGATTTAGTTGCTAATTCGTATGAATTCGTACAATCTAATTTGTACAATTTAGAACGATTTGCTCATCCCCTAATGATGTTTGGGTTTAGGGGTGTGGTTAGGTGCCACGCCTCCTTTTTAAAACCGTACAATTTCGTACGACTGACCTATTACGAATTCGTATGAATTAGCCACTAAACTAGCAAAACGTAAAATACTTGCGTTTTCTTGTGAGATCAGGCTGCTCTCATTCGCACACACAGAGACACACATAGACGGCAACAAACAAGCTACACACAGCATCACGCTGTCTCATCCACACACATATATACGCGTGCTCGCTCGCTCGGGAGTTAGACCGCCTGCTCCCATCTAATCTTACACCAGTTACCGATCACTCCAGCAATTTATTCCCGCGCCACAAGAAATCTGGTCGGGTCCCGCGGTGTAGCGGTGGGAATGCAGACCTCTGGTGTCCTGCATAGTTTGGGTCTAACACATTTGAACAAAGATAGTGTCTTTAAGATCACTATAAATCTATGAGCAGGTGTGTTTGATTAGAGTTGGAGCTAAACTATGCACCAGGCTTTCAGGACCGAGTTTGCCCACCTCTGCTCTATTACCTTAACAGCAACAGGTTGACTTTACTTAAAGAAGCGAGTAAACCTGTAGCAAGTTGGAACTGTTAAGTTGATTTAACATGCAAACTCCACACAGAAATGCCAACTAGCCTAGCCGGGACTCGAACCAGTGACCTTCTTGCTGCGAGGCCCACTTGAAAAATATTTGAAAAAAGAATTAAAATTTCACAAGAGGGCTATTATTTTGTAGATATGAGCGTACAAATATGGAAATCGTAGGAGGGATATTTAAAAACGTGATCATTTCTGAAAGTATTAATGTCACAGGCAGAACGCAAAGTGTGCTAATCATAAAATAATCAACCTTAAAAACCCATCTCCTCACACACTGAATGGCTGGAGTTGCATTGCATGTGCGTTACGCATCAGACGCTCTGAGACTACACTGCAAAAACATCCGTGAATGAACAGTTTTCCATATTTTGTGATTCATGTTTTATTTTTCCCCATATATTTATGCTTTGAATTGCATTATGATACCTTTAAACCATGAAAGGTTAGAAAAAAGTGACTTTTATGAACATTTTTAACAGTTTAAAATGAAATAATGTCTGGGTTGGTGTTGTATATTACGCTACAAACACCTTGTAATAAACTGCCAGTACATTTTCTCTTATTTTAATTACTATTCAATTAAAAAATTTAAAAAGCATCCTAAACAAGAGGCCGGTGAGATATGACTTGCAATATGAGTGATGACACAACAGCATATAAAAGGCCGCATGGTATATTTTTGCTCCTTAAGACAGCCACGTTGTATTTTTCTACATTAATTGTTGATAAGTTGAATCTTGAAACTACATAACATCAGTGCATTGTACATTGTGGCATTTTTTTTTACAAACATATTCAAATGTTGTATTTCAAAGCACAACAAAAGCAGTGCATTGCTAAAGTAGGCTTCCTCTACATTCAGACACATTCATATGTTATGTTTTAAACTGCGCAACAATTATAGATGCAACAATTATAGATTTTGGTTGTGCGATTATAGTCTAAAGAATAATCCTGGTTTCACTGTTATCACGTCTTACGTAAAGCTTTATATTAGCTAAGTAGTTTAATGAACTGTTGTTGTCATCTGCGTTCATACATATATAATTATTTTAATCATTTGTAATAGTTCATCTAATATCTTTTGTTTACCTTGCACTGAAAGCCACGCTATAGTGTGAGATGTTTTGTATTGGGCGTCGCTCTGCTTGCGCACGAATTTTTGCATATATTCTTACATTGAAACTTGAGCACGGAAAAACGCGATATGTGAACGGCGAACTGCTTTGGTTAATATCATGTGTGTGTGCGCGCGTATTAGCCTGGTGTATAAGCTCGGAACTTTAAACGAGCGCACAGTTGGCATAACTTTGCCTAATTGCAGCAGTTTCGTCTGTGCAACAGAAACACCAGCCTGATCTCATGAGAAAATGTATTTTACGTTTTGTCAGTTTTGTGGCTAATTCGTACGAGTTCAGTTGTACGAAATTGTACGATTTTAAAAAAGGAGACGTGGCACCCAACCACACCCCTAAACCCAACCGTCATTGGGTCATGAGCATGATCGTACTAAATTGTACGAATTAGATTGTAAAAATTCATACGAAAATCAAAAAGTTACGAATTGTCATGAGATTGTGTTGGAAATGCGGCATTGAGAAGC